CAAGTACAACAACAACAACAACAATTAATTAGTTCTGCTACAAAATTTAAAACTTCTAAAACTAACAAAAAATAGCAACAATATCTTTTTAACAAATCTACTATGAAATTTACAATCCCTAACATTGATGAAAGCCTCTTTCTAATTTAAAACTTACTTTATACTTTATACTTTAACACTTTAACTATATACCTCTACATATTTTATTATCTTTCATACACTTTATAACTTTATATACTAAATATAGCCTAGTATTTTTCATTATACTCTATAACTTTATACTATTAAATACACAAATCTTATAACTTAGCCTTACTTTTAAATTTATTTAATTAAATACTCTATTTACTCTATATTTATTTTTTCTTAAAAAAATCTAGGTGAGTCTTTAACTACTCTAGTAGATTTAGATTGCAGATAAAGTAGTCTGAGCTTTTATTCTTGCATGTAGTTTTTACTTTTTATATTTTATATATTAATATTAGCAACTCCTTGTAGTTACTATGATAAAAACTATTAATAAAGGTATAAGCAAGGCCTCACCTTAATACCAAAAAAAAATTTTATTTTATCTTATCATAGTGTTATAATTTCTTTTATAAAAATAATTCATAATTATAAGTTCTTATATATAAGTAATTTAAATTTTTATAAAATTAGTATTAGTTATAATTGGTTGTTTTTTTGCTTCAGATTTTATTTCTAGTACAAAATACTTTTTTTAAACAAAGATTTTTTTACAAAAAAAGATTTTTTGATCTTTAACAGTTTGAGAATTTTGAAGCTCTTTATTTTTTTTATTATTTTAAATTTAAAGTATTTTTTATTGATGAAAATTTGCTTAGAATAGGGAGGTTTCAAAGTTAACAAATGAGTAGTACATTTTGAAATTAAATAAGAGTTTAAAAATCTTATTTATATTTTAAAAATTAAAATCAAAAAATAAAATAGAAGTATTTGAAGATTTTTATTTAAATAAATAAACTTTTCAATATTAAAAATCATTATTTCAAATTTATTATAAAAATACAATAAAGTTGATATATCACTTATTTAAAAATAAATCTGTAATCAATTTTAATTAAAATTAAATTTTTATATTTTAACTTTGAAATCTTCTAATATGTGTAATTAATCACTTAAATTCAATATAATTAATATAATCAATATAAATTTATTCAGTTTAATAGATATATATAAAAATGATTTTTAAAGTTGATATTTGAAATTTAATATTAAGTATATAACAATTAATAAATATTGTTATTTTAGCTTTTTCTATTTTGTATTTAAATATATATATATAAAAATAAATATAGTTTGATACAAAAAGTTTGCATTTCATGCCTTAAAATTAATTTTTTTTTGGTTTTAAAGTAAGGTCTTGCTCATATCTTTATTAGTAATAATTTTTAATAGTAATAATATAGATTACTATAACATAGTTACTGAGACTTCTACTTGTAGTCAGAACTAACTGTTAAACTACTATATATAGAAATTTACAAAGCTACTACTATTTGTGATTTACTTATTTATACTGGTGATACAAACCTAAAAATAGAATAGATCATTATAGTTCATGTAACAAGAAGCTAATTGGCTGATAATCAAAGACATTTAAAACATTTATGCTAAGATTCTAGTATATTGGTTGTATCCATATTGAAGTGTAGAACTCTGGTATGATAAGCATTTATCTACATAACTTTATTGATATCATAAAAATTACTATATTCATCTGGTTTATTTAACCATTGTCACTTAAAGTATGTAATAAATATTACAAAGTCTCTCTATTTTTCTAAAAAACTGATAATATTTCTTTAACAATACTTATTTCATCAATTCTCATTAAATATTTTAGATCCTCAAATAGTTCATTCTCTAATGATCTTTTCTCATCAGCTACAAGTTTACATTCTAATAATCTAGTCTTTTCTTTATTAACCTTATTGAGATTTTTATGCCAGGTCTTAGTGACATACCATCAACAAAATAATATCATACTTTCTGGAAATACTACACAAAGTGCTTTGATTTGAGCAGGATCACAGTTTATTAAAATGCAGTAGGCCTTGCCAGTTAGAAAATTGAATACAAAGATTATGAAACCAGTACTGTATTGATTCAAAGTTTTTATGAGACAAAATGAGATAGGTAAGTGTAATGCCTTTATCAGTTTTTGGGTCAGGTGAAAGCAAGATATATAATAAATATTTATATTTATTAGTTTCTGAGTTGTATCGAGAAGGATAATAGGAATTTCATAGATAATTTCTTTAAAATAAGAACAATAAATCTGAAAAGCTTCTTCATATCATATTCTCCAGTTTCTAAAAAAAATAAAATAAAAATTATCACTATTTTTGAATGATTGAAAATGGCAAATAATTTTTTTTTTCTAGGTATACTTGTAGTTCAGAACAATTATATAAAATTGGGAATCGATCTTACATCAATGTGTTAAGGTAATTAAGTATAAGAGTGTACATTAAAAAAAAATTATTTGCAATTTTTAAAAAATAAAAAGCACCTTCTGTTTGAAAAATTGTACAGGTAAGATCCTTTTTTTGATCAAGCTTGATTCTCCATAATTCTATACTTTGTTCTTCAGATTTATATTTTATTTGACTCTCTATGATAACTTTTTTTTTAAATATTATAGATATCATCTCGAGTTACAAGATTATTACAAAGATTTACAGCATTTTTTTATTTTGATTTCCTATAAATTTGACATTTTACAAGCCTACTTTTAAAATAATCTATTAACTTCTTTAACATTTAGTTCATCCCGAATATGCTCAGCAATCTAGTTACATACTTCTTTAGAAAGCTTTAAGGTGT